AAGTGTGGAAGTAACCGAGTTGGCACAATCGACGCACAAATACGCTGCTATGCTCATCAAATTAAGCTTAAATTTGCAACACTCAAGCATGATTAACTGCTTAAAGATGACTACATTGTTATTGTATTGCACTTAAGAATGATTAGCTTTTTTAATATCAGACAGATTACTAATCAAATGTTACATCCTAAGTTAATTAACAACTTTTCTATTAAGGATGATTAACAGCTTAATTCAATACTGATCAAAATGCTCAGCAAATTAAGCATAAATTTTCTACACTCAAGCATAATTAACTGCTTAAAGATGAGAACTTGCTTATTGTATTGCACTAAGGGTAATGAACTGATTAGCTGAAAAGCTTTTTTAATATTATGTTGATTAACACTCACATATTATATTCAATTTTTATTAACTGCTTAAAGATGACAACGTTTCTATTAAATTGCACTTAAGTATGATTAACTGCGTAGAGATGAAAGCTTTTTAATAGCATGCTGATTACCAATCATATATTACATTCAAGCTTAATTTACTACTTTAAGACCACAACTTTTCTTATTATGTTACACTCAAGAAAGATAATATCTGTAATATCTATCATTTCTCTTTCACTGAACCTGTCCCTCCCTATCTCGCTCTATTTATTTTTATATTTCATTGCACTCTATCTATCTTTCCTGCACTCAAACTCTCGTTAATTCTATCATCTCTCATCATATCTCCATATTACTATCAATAGGCTATAGACCACACTTTTGGGTGTAGAGACCCAACAATGCGCAGCGCCTCTGCTGTGCAGCACCAGAATGATGAGGATGGAGGATAGAGGCTGGTGATGCTGATCCTGATGATTAAGAATTAAAATACATTAACACAGTACAACAATGTGGCCACATATTAACGTTAACATTGAGCGCTAATTTCCAACGAGCCGCCGTTGGAGTGGCATGTGTCATGGCATAAGGATAGAGGCTGATGATGCTGATCCTGATGCTTAAGCTGGTACCACCATGGCCTGCTGGTGATGCGAATGTGCGATGGCAACGCTTAGGCTTGGTGGGGCAGAATTAAATACATTAATGAAATGTGAATTACATGCTGTGATAAAACTACGCATATTTTCAAACATTTTTAAACAAGAAAAATATTATACTTTTTTTTATATAATAAATAAAAAATGTATTCACAAAGCTCTATCCGTCGATTTACTTCTATAACCAAGTTATATTTAACAGTATACTCTTGACCTTAAGAGAAATAAAGAGTGCTCTTTATCCGCCAGATAAATATATATACAGTTCTTTCATTATCCAATAAGCATTGATCTAAGCAAACGCCCATATCCTGACTTGCTAAGCATTCGTTACGATTTGGTTGAGTTTTATTTATTTTTATAAATATATGTATAAAAATTGTATCATTATATTTAAACTAGTATCCAATTGTCTATCTGACAGCTTAATCGAGTTCATACTTGTATCTAGTTCTTAATCTAGTTCTAGCAAATGCGTGCGTCCATATATCTGGAATTTAATAAAAACGAATCTATTTTTTTACCATCATTAATGGAGGAACACTGAGAGCATTGCTTCCGAAATTCCAAAACATACATAATTGCTCTCCTACACTTCTTAAAACTTGCATCCCCTACAATTCTAACAGACGTTCTCTTTCTTCCAAAGGATTTCTTTGGTTTCTTATATAATTCAGAGCTGGCAATAAAGTCGCTTGTTCATGACTTTTAAGGAATCAAGGATCAATTAAATGGAATTTTAATCGAATGTTTTTTTTTTACTCAAATATACAGGATAAGAACTATTTATATATGTAATTATATTCTAGGAAGAATTGTGTTAAGTGTAATACAATTCCACGAGTAGAACGTTACAATCGTGCCAGACCGAATATGAATACCTCATACACACCCTTTTCCTCCTTCACTCATTTAACGAAAATAAAATTTTCTATAACAATCATTGCTATGGCAGCTACACACACATATGCCATAGTTAAAACTATTTTGATAAGCCGTTTTTAAGATGATTTCATAAACAAAAAAGATATCCCATAAAACGTGCTATTTGCACTAATGGGTCCTATGGCAGTTATAAAAAGTAATGCGGCTATACATGGTTTGTAATAAACCTGCTATGCGAATAGGTAAGACAAGTCTATATATCTAGTTTGATGCTTCTAGCGGTATTGGTTCAATAGTTATCGGTGTTCATACAGTCGAATAGACTGATGGACGGGCAAGTTAATATTAATTGCTGAATACATTTGGCTTTTGGACTTACTAGTACAAGTACTCTTTGAAAGAAATCAGGGTTCTCTAATTGCCGATTTCTACTTAATAGTTTTAGGAATGAGGATTTCCTAATTCATGTAAAATTTTCTAAAATTATAAATTTTCATATAGTGTTGCATATTTGGGGGCTGCAATTCCAAGCCGTTGCTGAGCTGATGAGCGAACAATGAATGACGAGCGCCATTTTGTTGCTCCCATTGTTGTTGTTGTTGTTTCTTGCAGCCATATTAAATCAAAACGAAGAGCGAAAAAAAATTACAACAAGACCAACAAGGCGCGCTAAAATGAATAATTAAGCGGCATGAGCGGGACAGCTGCGCAAGGTGTGTTGTTGTTGTTGTTTGGGGAGGATGGGTGTTTTGTGGGTGGAGGGATAAGCGGAACAGCAGGGAAACAAAAGGGGCGCATTCGCACACAAACACAATCACATGCTGCACACTGTATACAAAGTTTAGAGAAAGACCAATCAGCGCGACAAAACAATGGACATACACACACACACACATACACACACCTACATGCATGCATACATAAATATTCTCGGTGTGTGTGTGTGTATGTGTGGGTGTAGCGAGTGAAAATGATTAGCAACATAAAAAAAGAGGCTACCTGGCGCTCAGGTGGGGCCGCCGCACAGCTTCGTAGTAGCGCGCTGCTTAATGAATTCCACAACAGAAGCGGCGGCTGAAAAACAACAACAAACAGCATCAAATTACAAAATTAAAAATGGCGCTGTGTGCATGTGAATGCAAACAAGAAGAGAAGCAAAAGAAACAACAACAGCAAGAGCAACAGCAACAGCAACAAGGAGAAAACGCATGAAACAATTTTCATAATTTTAATGAGGCTGTCAACGTCGTCAGCGCACACACAGACAGAGACACAAGCAGGCAATGCACAATACATTGAGCGCACCCCGCTCTTCTCACTCTCACTCTCTCACATAACACAACACACACACACACACACACACACACAGCGACAGCTGCTGCGCGCTTATGATTGGCTTTGGGCTCAAAAGGAAGCAAATGCAATAACACGAAACACGGACTGCCGCTCCGCCTATTCTCTCGTTATCCCACCACTGCTTCGTAATAATAAATAAATATAATTTTAGCGCAAGCGCTGCAAGCACACCACGGCAAAAGCCCCCCTCCCCCCCCCACCTATACACCTGCCAGAGCTACTTCAACTAAATAACAACAGCAGCCTCCACGACGATGATGACGACGACGACGACGACGACGACGGCGATGAAACAATACATGCAAATGAAAAAATTACATCCCTTCATTTGTTTAACTTACTCGCACACAAACACACTGCTTGCCTGCCTGCCAACAACTACAACAACGATAACAATGCACAATAGACTAGAGATGACAGAAATGCATTTCCCGCATTTCAGTTTCAAACGAATGTGTACGGATTTACACGAGAAGGTTTCTATATTGCGTTCGATTTTCGGATAAATAAATAAATAATAAGTAAATAAATAAAAAATAAGCAAATAAATAATAAAAAGTCAATAAATATATAATAAATAGATAATAAATAAAAAATAAATAAATAATAAAAAACTAAATAATAAATAATAAGTAATAAATAAATAATAATTAATAAATAATGAATAATAATAAATAAATAATACAATAATAATAATAAATAAATAAGTAATAAATAATAAATCAATAAATAAGTAATAAATAAAGTTCCTGATTTTATTGCAGAACTTACAAAATACATGTTAAACCAAGTAAGGATCAAAGTTGTTGCACAGACAATTTCACTTGAATATCAGGTTTATAATGGCAATATCGTATTTCATTCTAAGACCTTTTATTTTAAGAATATGTCAATTATCATTTTACATACAAGTATGTTTAGGAAAGGAAAGATTTAACATTATTTTGATCATCTCTGGTCATTAATAAAAAAAATAATAAAAATATACATATGTAGCATTAAATTACACATTTATTATTATTACTTGTTTATTAATGATATTACCTTATCAATTAATAAATTCATTCTGTTCGATTCCAATTTATTGTTTACACCTCATTCTGTTTTTACACGGTAGATTGGTTACAAAAACAACCGTGTAAAAAAGACATTGATCTTATGCAAAAATAGGTGATTGGTTCCTTATCTCTAAAGAAATATATATGAAATTTTTAATTTTCAAACCGTGTTGTATGAAAATCGTGTAAAAAAAGACCGTGTAAAACAGAATTAGGTGCACTTATGTAGGCATCCATATAAACATTCCACCACCGAAATATATGGCGCTGGATTTGCAATGATGGACCAGTTTTCTGAGATTAAGTCACAAATTTCCAAACGAATCTGTGCGGAATATACACTTGAAGGGTTTAAATAGGATATCATACCCTATTAATTAATAAATTCACTATATTTTGTTCTCGAATATTATTTCCGAAATGATATGGAAATTCCACCACATAACGTTCTTAAGTATAGATTTGGATTGGCAGAGATGGACTAGAGTAGGCTAAAGAAGCTTTCTTTTACATTTCTGGAGGGTAATCCCACAATCGCTTTCGTTGGCTTTCTGACTACGAAAGTAATAAGGAACACACCATAACTCCTCGATAAATTCATTTGTTCTCATAAAAAGGTTGAGTGATCGTTTGTTTTTTTTTTACGGGGATCTATAAACATAATGTAACGGTGTGATTAACAAAATATATTTCACAAAAAATATAACAAATACAACTTGAAAAACGAAACATGCTTAACATATTTTAATATTTTGAGGTGTCGGCTGTCCTTTAGGGGTCTTCAGTAACCAGATCATCGCCCACCTCTTGACAGTCCACGACATACATTCTGCCGTCATTTAGCCAGAAAATGGCCTTCTGCTCCTCGCTCTTTCCTCGACAGCGTTCTAGATGGTCTGTTTTGTTCTCTCCATGATCGCTTAAGGGTCGGCTGGTATCGGTCTGTTGCTGCAATTCCTGGTTGTCTCTCAGACTGAGCTGGGCTGGAAGTTCTTGCTCCTCCTCCTGTCCCATGGCTGGACTGATTACAGTTACGGTTCGAATGTGTTCCTCAGCGAGTGGCGCGACAACTGGCGATAAATTAGTTGCACTCTGTTGCAACACTTCCTGGTTGGCTATCAGGCTGAGCTGGGCTAGAATCTCTCTGTAACGATGTTCTTCCTCTATTGCTGAACTGGTGCGAATGGATGAGACTTTTGGCGTTGAATAGGTTTGAGTTTGTTGCGGCACCTCCTGGCCGACTCTGCCTGTGACATAATTTCGGAGCTCACCGAACCATTTGAAGACATACTGACAAGGTATGATAGTTGAGCAGATTATATAGAAGATGTCACTTGGCAACAATATGTCCCGAAAGTATTTGAACAGAGAATGGATCAGTCGACGAAAAACGGCGACCTTCGAAACACGCATCTTCACCAAACTGGTCACCTCGTCTCGCAAAATAAGCGCGTTTTCTTGCAAAATTGTCTTCCAATCCTCCAAATGGGACTCCTCGACATCCTCTCCGCTTGTATCATTTACAAGCTCTGCCGTATAGGGATTGTGTACTTCGCTGCTTTCGAAATCGCCCGTAAAGTTTTGTGGTCGAAAATACTTGTTGTGGGCCACCTGGTGCCTGCATTTATAATAAGAAAACATTTCACGAAGCCTCAGATAGTGGCTTTTCGTTGACAGGTAGCTCACCATTTGTAGGAGGACTCCCTATGCTCCATGTCTACACTTAAAGGTTTTAAGTACGCCCGACCCAATTGCTCTGGGGGGCCTTTAAGGAATCTACCGAATATATAGGTGAAGATGTAAATCATCAACGATGCGAGATCCATGATTAAAAATTTTTCTGATAATTTTGTACTGAATGCTTTCACTAAAACTAACAATGATTATAAAAACTTGCAATGATTATGAAACATATGTTTTTCCAAGCCTGCTGATTTGATTTTTTAATTAAAAACTCAAATACAGTTCGAATTTTAGGGCGTCGGAAGAAAATAGTATTGGAAGGCAAGATACCATTTCAACAGTTGCTTTGTTGACATCAATAAAGATATCGAATAAAAACTTAATTCAGTTCATAATCTGATTTCATCTCGAGTTCCCAAAATAATCCATAACATACTTGTAACAATATTTTGAAGATTAAGAAAACAATAATTCTCGCTTTTAATGCGAAAGATTGCTAATCGAATGAAAATAGTAACTAGGAGGCGAGCGAGAAGAGGGAGAATATAGTATGTGTTCCTAATATAGAGAGACCAGCTTTGCTAAAAGTGCGCTCAGAGGCACATTATGTGGATGGAACGACCATGATCTGCCTGACTACAGAATAAAATGAATCATCACTGCTCGCCAAACTCCCTCCTAGGGGCTATCAATGTGTTTTCCAGCTCTACTATAGATTAGGGATGTAAAAAAACATCGATGTATGGATGTAGTCATGTTTTGTCGGGCGGTCACATTTCTTTGTGTGGTTTACCAAAGAAGGTATATTTGTATTATAAATGTTTTCATTAAAATGTGTATTTTGTAGCATAAATTTTAGATTTTTAAGCATTTGATCTTCATTTTTTCATATATAACACACTTAATATGCTTAAAAGGCGTAGCTAAAACGCGTCATTGTTTTTAAAAGTGTATATTACCTTTTTTTAAGTAAGCCATACAAGTTCATCAAAAGTCAATATTACGAGTACTTTATTGATTAACAACATTAAGTAAAAGAGTATGACAGTCTCTCTTGATAGAAAAACATTTTTTATTTCAAACATCTCTGTTGATTTACTTCCAAATTTTAGCTTTTTTTTCTATGGAAAGTAAATTTTTTTATAACATCAATGTTTTTATGGGATGCATCGACCATGCATCGATTTTTTATAAGGAGACGTCGATATACATCAACATCGATGTTTTTCCTTCGATTTACATCCCTACACTATATATATAGTTTTTGGCCAAGTTTAATGTCTCTGGCTGTTATGGTTCAAAAGCTATCGATGTTTGTGCAGTCGATTAGTTGGACAAACGGTCGCACGGACAGATTCGTCCCGTCATGCTGATTTAAATGAAATGCCATCACGCGCACATTCCTAACACAAGCACAGGCGGGCTCCTTCAGCCGCACGGACGCAGCATCAGCTGTGGTGGCAACCTCATTTCCATTGTTATGCTCCCCCTCTGCTGGTGCGCCCTTTGTGCCCGGCTTGTAAGCTACACCAGTGAGGCAACAACAACAACAACCGTAAGTCCTTCTTCGTCTAAGTTGTGTGTGTGTCTCTGGATATATATGCGTGTGTGTGAACGGGGTGTTGCCTTATTGTTTTGCTGCTCTAAGCATTAAGTGATTTGAATTTTATTTATCACAGGTACATTTCATGTACACAAAGCGCACTGTACGGCTGCACAGTGGTGCACATTGCATTTGCAACGAAACATTTTGTAACTGCTCTACAAGTATTACACTAATATTTCAGCTAATTTGGGGCTATTTATGGTCGTTGTTGCAATTGAAATATATAATTTGTATTCAAGTTTCAACAAGTTCATTTGAATGGCTTTTGGAAAATCAATTCTTTATTCATTGATTCCGTCGAAATCGGACAATGCGCTCAACAGTTACATGCATTTTATTATCCTTTCAATTCATAATGAATTTATTTTGTTCAATAGTTTTCTTTGATTTCATTTGAAAAACCTATACATGTTAAAGTTTTACTAAAATGAAGTCTTCTTTCTTCTGGGGCAGCAAACTGTAAGTTAGTGAAAGCGCTGGGGAATCAATACTATTTTTCGTAATTAACTTATAGAGAAATCCAAGGTTTCGATTCAAACTAGACCTACGAAATGCAGGTATAACGAACTGTTTCTGCACTTTTTCAAATGAATCGTTCGCCCAAAAATGTGAGCAATAAGTGTTAGAGAAGTAAGATATATAAAAATATAGGATGTAGGCGACTAGAGAATCTGGATACAAATTTTGTTCTGTGTAGGATCAGCCGTTGCAAAATCCGGGCGCTCATCTAGTCTAGGAATTACTTCCTGTTGTAGAACGATTTCATATATTTAAGAAATACTAAAAAAATTATGTACATATGAAATCAGACTTGAGAATTCTAGTCAATTGAAATTTAATAAAATATTTCTAGTATATTTAAATCGACTACAAAAAACTTCAAATTAAAGTTGAGAAAAATATTATAATTTACTATGGAATATAGTAAATGTAACTATTTGAAGTGTGTGCATATTAATATGTAATATGGTTCAACATTAAATTGAATATGTCACAGTTTAATAACGAAGTTTAACACTTTGCTTTGAATATTATTCATTTTAAAATCACTAATTGAATTTGTTTTGAGTAAAATTTACGATGTTTACATTAAATTTAATATGAAAATATTCATATGTACTATACAACTTTTTTATCAGTGTATGTAATAAAAATGTAAATAGAAAGCAACTGTTATAAAACGGAAATTGAAGGAAAATGTAGCGCGCTTTTCAGCGCAATAAGTGTTAGAGAATTAAGATATATAAAAATATAGGATGTAGGCGACTAGAGAATCTGGATACAAATTTTGTTCTGTGTAGGATCAGCCGTTGCAAAATCCGGGCGCTCATCTAGTCTAGGAATTACTTCCTGTTGTAGAACGATTTCATATATTTAAGAAATACTAAAAAAATTATGTACATATGAAATCAGACTTGAGAATTCTAGTCAATTGAAATTTAATAAAATATTTCTAGTATATTTAAATCGACTACAAAAAACTTCAAATTAAAGTTGAGAAAAATATTATAATTTACTATGGAATATAGTAAATGTAACTATTTGAAGTGTGTGCATATTAATATGTAATATGGTTCAACATTAAATTGAATATGTCACAGTTTAATAACGAAGTTTAACACTTTGCTTTGAATATTATTCATTTTAAAATCACTAATTGAATTTGTTTTGAGTAAAATTTACGATGTTTACATTAAATTTAATATGAAAATATTCATATGTACTATACAACTTTTTTATCAGTGTATGTAATAAAAATGTAAATAGAAAGCAACTGTTATAAAACGGAAATTGAAGGAAAATGTAGCGCGCTTTTCAGCGCAACTCAAGCCACGGTGCAGAATGCGTAAAAAACGAACGCCCATCTGCCAAAGCAGCGTTTATGAGGTTTTTGTGTTTGTGCCGTAATTTAACGAAGTCAAAACGAGAAAACAATAAACCCCACACAGTAAGCAAAGCAGCAGGAACAACAAATGAATGTATGTATGTACATATGTATGTATATGTGGGAGTGTGTTTGCATGGATGTGTGTGTGTGTGTTTATTAAGCTCGGGCCCTCTCATAATGCACGAATGCAGCGTCGTGTGCGTGTGGGCGCCTCTAACTGTAGCTGCTGTGTATTTGTTTATATTTATATGTGTACCCTGCAATGGAAAAGTCTAAACGCCAGTTGCATGTAAAAGGAGACGTACTACATGTTCGGAGCATAATAATTAAAAACTATAAAACTATAAAAAACATAAAAACTTGGCAAGTAAGTTAACGTCAATGCATTTTGACTTCTGTTTATTTTGGTTTTGCGTGCACTATGAACTCTAAGTCTCTCTCTCTCTCTCTCTCTTTAAGATCAACGCGCTCTTGCTCTCACTATGCGGACAGAGCTTTCATATGCAGACGAGCTTTTAAATACTTTCAATTTGTTCTCCCACTTCAATTCTTAAGTTATGTTCAATTGAATTCGTCCCGTGTTTTTTTTTTAATACAGTGTAAATCGCGTAGAACGATTTAGTGGTAAGCAATTCATTTGAAGCGGTGTAGAATAACTAACTTAACTCGACTGTATAATTATTCAGTTGATATATTTGATATTTCCTTTAAACACCGTAGTTATAAAATGTTCGAAAATACTAATTTTGTGCTAATTTCTTAATTATATTCTTCGTTTTCAACTCTCTACCAAAATACTGTTTTTATTGAAAAGCGCGAAATTATGAGGGTTTTAAATTTATTATTCCAAAACCATTATTATATTATATTAACCGATTTTTATTAAAACACGTATTTTTGAAAACTGGATAATAAAAACGCATGGCAATAAGGAAGTTTGCAATTTTGTGAATAATTAAAAAAAGTATTTAAATAAATAATTCGATTCATAAAACTTATATTTATTGTACATGAATTTATAAAATTTGATTCAAGCATTCTGCCACAAACATTCTAAATTACGTCGTTATTTTGTAAGCACCCCTAATCTAGACTATTATTATTATTATTATACTATTATTACTATTATGCATACGCAGAGCAAGTTGATTACAAATCAGGGGTAGGAGAGATCGGAGGAAAAATCAATCGGGTAGAATTAATTTGTTGCTTAGATATATATATTTTCATAACTATAGCATATGGACGCCATAGCTATGGCTTTTCAAGAGTACAGTGTACACAGAAGTCAGTATCAAGCAACTGTAGCATTCTGTTCGTTTCTTTGCACGACGCCTGCCGAACAAGCAAGCGACGAAGGAGCGAATGAGCGTAAGCCCGAACGGAGGCTGCGCGCGTGGCTGCTGCCACCTGACATTACGAAATGGTGATGGTGGCGATTCTGCCCCTTTGGACAAGCGAGTAGGCAACAGTTTTGCAGTTAACAGTACGCTCTCTCGCGTGCTCGCTCTCACTCGCGCGCACATTGCACTCCACGTGCATATTAACAGCTTAAACAACAACATCAACAAAGCATAACAACAACATCCATACAATTATGCGTTTGTATTTATGAATACGAAAATTAATTTGCGTTATTTTAAGTGGCCGCCCAAAAGCACACTACACTTTTTTGAAAGTTCTACGTTTAAAATTAAATTGGAAAGTAAACAAACAAATAAATTGTTTATTGTTATTATTTAGTATAAGTAACAAATTTATGTGCGAGCAGCAGGCAAAGCCTATTTTTTAATTATCACACAGACACATGCATAGTTGACAGCACACAAACACAAAGGCAAGTGGCAGCCTCACACACCCACAGGTGCTGTGCAAGCGCAGTTTCTCTCTGTGTGTGTGTGTGTGCATTAGCCTGTCCGTGGACAGGCAGCATAAAAGCCAAAGGACGCTGCCTGCACTTTCGCAGTCGCTGACAAAACGCGTAACGCGCAGCAGCTGAGAAAATCGCTCCAACTGTAAATTCTTGCTCTCTCCGTTTCATCTGTGTTTGTTGTTGTTTTTTTTTTTCTGAAACGACTTGGCGCGCGTGTTTTATAATTCAAATCGAGCTCAGCTTCACATTAGAATATTTTAATTCAAATAAAATATCAAACTTTGTGACGAAAGGTGATAAATCTTGCAAGGAAGCTTAACAAAAAAATGCATTTCACGATAGAAACAGTTTTTCAAAAATTATTGTTTGTTTACAAAGATCGTCTTCTTTTTTTTGATATTTAATTATTTTTTTATTTTTCGAAAATGTTGCTTGTGTTCATGTATCGTCAAACAGGCGAATAATTTTCAAGCACATTTATCACAATTCACAAAAGTTGTAGTTCAATTGAAACCAATAAGACTCCTACACATAAATTTAGTTATCATTTGTTTTTCTTAAAACACGTTTCTTGTGATAATCTTGAAAAAGTGTGCCCTCAAAAATGATTAATTTAAAAAATTGGTTGCCTTTAGGAGGAAACTTGAAAACATGAATTTAATTATAGCATGTTTTAATTTCTATTTTTATTATTATAAATTCAAAATTAGTGTTCTTAGCAAGAACATTTGTAAAATATTCATTTATAATTATTATAATTTATGATTTATAGTTGCATATTTTCAATCAATTTTATTTAATTTAAATGCATTTTGAAAATTCCAAATCGGTTGCTATTTAAATAAAATTCTAAAAAATTTGCTGTTTGTAATAATTTATAATTGAATTATTTAATTTGTATAAATAAATTTTATTTAAATCTTTTTTTAAGATCTGTCCTATGTTGGACAATTATTAAATTGTATGATAACTTTGACAATTTTTAATCATGCTTCTGTCATAATGTTTGCGGTGTGATTCGATTCGAGTGCCTACTCAAGGAATGAACTCACATTGGGGGATTCCCGGTAGCTCGCCAGGCGCCGTATAAATACATAAAAATTCATAATAGATTTTTAAATTTTCAACTTAGTATTGTTTTTTAAAATATTGTTCATAGCTTTGTGTATATAATGAAAAATTCTTTATTTGTTGAAGTATTATTAAATAGATGTTTAAAAGATAATGATTTGTAAAGTTATTTTTTCAAACCTAATCTTCTATTTTACAAATTTATATTTGTATTTTTATGTTAGTTATTCGATGGATTTTAGAATGCTATTTTTATAAAATTTGTTTTTATAGTAATTATAATTTTTATTTGTTTAAATATTATAAATGCAATCATGTTTATGAAATGAGAAAGTCTGCCATATCTTTAAATAATTTAAAAACCAAACCAATTATTATTTTTTATAAAATTAGAATCTAAAATTTGAATATAAATTGGTTCAATAATTTGATTTGTTAGACCGGCAATGCATTCTTTCTTTTCAAGGTGCTTTTCATTTTAGGGAAACAGACAATATTTTTTTCAGTGTATTTAAAACTCAATTCTATTTGCCTTCTTTTGACTATGAAGCGTGTGTGAAATTCGTTAGAAACTAAAAAAATGGCTGGCCCATTTATATCGCCATTACCGGGCGATCTGCTGACGGAATATATGTTCGGGCGTCGACGTCAACGTCGCAATCGCACGACCTTCACGCCCCAACAGCTACAGGAGCTGGAGGCCCTCTTTCAGAAGACCCACTACCCGGATGTATTTCTACGCGAGGAAGTGGCTTTACGCATTAGTCTGAGCGAAGCGCGAGTGCAGGTGAATCTCACACTTTTTCTACAAATCAAATAATGTTGCAGTGTGTATATTTCTTTAACGATTTAAGTTTGATTCAAAAGTTTGACTGTATGAACCCCTATAGCTTTTAAATTATAAGGTATACAGACACCACAAAACTAGACTGGTGTTGCTTTTTAGTATTTGTATTTGTTTTGCTGAACAACAGATAATATTTCTTTTAAAAGTAAATTTAATTAAACCAATAAACATTTTACAAAGCCATGGTTGTAGATATTTAGATGGAAAGATATAGATATGATGAGATTGAGATATATAGATACAGAGACCTAGGAGTATTTAGATACATATAAATATCAAAATTAACATGTAGAATAAAATATGATTGTTTAAACTTATTACCGTCGAGCATGATCTTAAACAAAGAATGTATAGGTTCTGAAAGTAAAACTATGACATCAACGGATAATGCACAAGTATTTTGAAAGATCAATCACGATATTGATGAACCAGATTGAACCAGATAAACAGATAAGTGAATATATAAAATATAATATTCAAATAATAGAGATAGCTACAAATTTTATATAAATTATACAGAATATTATTAATTGAGATAAGGATACGACAAGCAACTACATTCGGAACTATATGAAGGATTTAATAGCTTATTCTTCCGTTCAACATCAAGAAATTGTTGAACAGGAGCCTTCTGGTTTAAAAAAACTCGATACAGGCATGCTCACTCATCCGTCCATCAGCCTGTTCGACTGTATGAACATCAATAACATTTGAACCATAATTGCTAGGGACGACAAACTGGGTATATACAAAGATTGGTCTTATGCATGAGCAGAGAGATTCCGAACAAAGAAAAAATCCGCGCTTAGAATATATTTTTGAAAGAGGTCGTGAAATAAAGTAATTAGTCATTTATCGCATTTGAATGTCTGCGATATCTAATGAGTTAAGACTTGCTTGTATCTCAAACGCCGCTTGGGTGAGTGTCTGCGAGTGTGTGTTTGGATGTTCGTTTTTTAAAAAATATTAGACAAATTTTTTGAATTTCTGAAACTTCTTATGTGATTTCTGCTTTGGAATACTTGTATGTCAGCCCTTTTTTTTTTGTTTTGCACGTGCGGTGCCTGTTGTCGAGTATGTTTGTTTCGAGTTGTCTGTTGTTGTTTCCATTCGTCTGTCAGCCAAAAGTTTGACTGTATGAACCCATATAGCTTTCACACTGAGACACTGATGTACAGACACCAAACTAACAAATAGATGCTGCTTTCTAACATTTTTCGTTTTTATAAACCCACGAAGTTTTGTAAGTATTAGTTAAGAACGTAATCTGAGGCATGTAATATATTCATTTAAGGTGTTTTTTTTTTTTTAATTTGATTTAACATTTCTTTATAATTCGATTGGTAATGCTCGCTTGTTATTCGAAATAGGTTTGGTTTCAGAACCGACGCGCCAAGTGGCGCAAACAGGCGCGCCTGCAGCTACTGCAAGATGCTTGGCGTATGCGCTGCCTGAGTCTGGGAACTCCTCCCGTCCTAGCTGGTGGCGGAGGCGGTGGTATGTAAAGCTAACTAACTAACCAACTTAACCCTAGCTGATCAACTTATCAACCATCCAATTAGGCAATCGTGTGCCACCCCCGACAACGGCTGGCGGACAAACGCCCGAAAATCTCTCGGCTGGAAATGGCACATCGGCCACAAAGGACTCGCACAGCAGTGGTGGGGAAATGGGTGCGGATAATGGCGCCACCAGCTTCACTATGATGCATCCAGCTTTCCAGCATCAACAACAACAACAACAACAGCAGCAGCAGCAACAACAACAGCTCCAGCCGCCTCCCCATGCACGTGATATGGGCAATGGGAAGTTGTCCAAAACCTATACAGAACTGAAGCTCTACAAAGATCCCTCGCATGGTGGCTCGCAACTGGATGCCGGCATCGGGGCTGGTGTGGGCGTCGCTGCTCTGTCGCCAGAATCCGAGGATAATTCCGATGGTTCAGATTCTGAGGAAATCGACCTAACATCTGGGGCTTGCATCGATTTCTCGCAAAGCAGCAAACTACAACAACAACAACAGGAAGCACAGCAACAAACAGCGTTGGCACCACCGCCACAAACCGCCAATGGCGTGCACTAAATCGTATATAGTATAGTATATATACATACATACATATATATGGAGAGTCTGTACATTTAAGCCGATAAATTCTTATGTATTCACGTGATTTTAATGTGCATTCGCATTATATGTCTTTTTTTTCTTAGCTTTGTAAAGCTTAAGCAATAACAATGAAGCCTGCGTGAGAGCAGTTTAAATATTAAACCCGACTAGTTGTTATTATCCTCAATTATCAAAATATTTCCACACCCAAAACTAAAAGTTTTGGCTGCGATCAGCTACGAAAAATCTTCTCCACACAAAGAGTGGGCAATGGAGAAGCAGAAGGTAAGCGTTTCAAGTTTGAGAATTGGAATTATTCCAATATCGCCGTGAATATCCACCTAGGAATATTTTTTTAGTGCCTCTACCCAAAGCCTAGGATATAGTGGTGCCTGAACGTCAAGTGTATGCAACTGTCAGCAGAAGACGTTGCAGAACCCATGTATCGATATAGGCATGTTCGCCCATTCGTCAGTATGCTCGTCTGTTCGACTGTATGAACATCGGCAACTTTTGAACTATAACAGCTAGGAACATACTCGTTGCAGTTCTCTGATACAAATATATACATACATTTTTTTCATATGTTGATTCGCACTAAACTAGTGGATATAACCTTTTAATGGAACAAAAACTGGGACTAGGAGCCTCTACTTTCAGCAAAGAATCGCCAGTGCGGCCGAAGCAAACGTAATCCATGGGCGTGGATGTGCCGGCCGTTATCGAGAGAACTGGCTAACTTTCGGAGGAGAAAAGCAGCCTAAGGAGAAGGCCACCAAGAAAGTACTACAAGTACATGAGGCCTTGGAACGAGCAAAGGAATAGAGCTGGCCTTCTCCTGGCTCTTTTTCTTCACACGGCACACCTGTATACATATGTACAAATAGTGAATTTTATATTCCTATACCCTACCGGTCAGGGTATAAACAATCGAAGCTATGTTTTAACACACACATTTTTACAACAGAGCGGCCAAGGGAAACAGCAACCGATTTAAAACACAAAAGAAACAAAACTTAATGCCCTAGAACGTCTTTCAAAATTAATAACTTTCTTCTATATTAAAGAAAAATTTGTATTCCTAATTTCCACATTTGCCGAGCTCGAGTGGACAAACAGAAATGTTGGCACAAATTTCAAAAAAGTGCGCCATGTTATGCTTCCCAACACTTAGTTTTTCCTTCGATAGTTATGCAAAATGTATCGATGTATCGATTGGCTTGCCGGCTTGGCAATGTGCCTGCACTATTGCGGGAGGGGAGACATTGTTGCTGCGATAGCAATTCAAAGTGAAACCAAACAAAGGAGCTGGCAAGATGCATTTCCTCCACTTCAACTTGACCTTGTCGCTTATTTTGTGCTGCTGGCTGGGCTGTGGGCGCGGCCAGGAGGCTGGTGCGGTACTGCCGGTGGTGCTGTGGCACGGCATGGGCGACACTTGTTGTTTTCCCTTCAGTCTGGGCAGCATAAAGAAGCTCATCGAGGAGCAGACTAATGGCACGTACGTGCTATCCCTCAAAATTGGTGGCAACGTGGTGCTGGACTATGAGAGCGGCTTCTTCATACATCCCGACAAGCAGGTGGAGTACGCCTGCAAGCAGCTGGCGAAGGATGCAAGACTGGCCAATGGCTACAATGCCATTGGATTCTCGCAGGGTGGTCAGTTCTTGTAAGTACAACCATACATACGAGTACATATGTGTATGCAATGCTAATCCTGCATTTTTTAGACGAGCCGTGGCCCAACGTTGCCCCAAACCGCCGATGCGTACGCTGATCTCATTGGGCGGTCAACATCAGGGCGTCTTCGGTCTGCCCAAGTGTCCGACGCTCAGCACCAGCACCTGTGAATACCTCAGCCGACTGCTCAACTATGCGGCCTACGAGGAGTAGGTCTTCTATTTAGATATATTCCCTGCTCAGCTAATTGCTCATATATACTTATATTTCCAGCTGGGTACAGGAACAGCTCGTGCAGGCGACATATTGGCACGATCCGCTGCACGACAACAGCTATCGGCTGAAGAGTACCTTTCTGGCCGATATCAACAACGAGCTTTATCTGAAAGTGAATTACATCGAGAACCTCAACAAACTCAAGAAGTAAGCCCTACATTTGATAAACAAATCTGTTCTCATTTAGAAATATCATTAAATTTTGTGGACTACTTTTTGATTCCGAAATACTGTCCCAGAGGAGTTTAGTGGAAGACTAGAAGACCAAAGCAACTACCTCCAAAGCTAAACAATTTCTCTTTTTTAAAGATAATTATCATTGAAGATTTTATACATAGATGCATTTAGGATGTTGCGCCTCAGATCTTAGATGCGCATCAGATTGTTTTCATCTGAAAACTGCACACAAGAAAACCCTAGAGAAATGAGCGGCGGTTATTGGAAAGAATTTCCTATAAAAAGAATACTAGTTTTATAGAATTTTTCTTACGGAAACCCCAAATATTTCTATGTCAGATGTACATCTCTGAGACATAGCCGGCGGCCTTTGAAAAGTTTTTTAAAACGAACTCCCTCGAATTGTATTTAATTTATGTTTCTAAACTAAGCTTAGTATTAATTTCAAAAGGGATGTTATAGGCTTTGATTTTAGAGATACATTGACATTTTTTTTTAATAGCTTGATTAGTGTAGAGTCAAACTTCTTAAGTCCAAAATGTAAAGGAAACCCTATTGTATTTCCTATTTCATAATTGGTGAAGATGTTTTAGTCTGGTTTATTTGAAAAAAAATCCAGTAAATACGAAATACTAATAACCTGGTTAGTTGGCATTCGGAATCCGAAAATATAATGAAATGCTAAGGTTGTTATATTTTCTTTCGTAATCTGTAACTCAGATCACATTTAAGAACATTTAGCGGTTTTATTTAACTTTGAAAAGAGCCGAAAGTAAGAAGAATAACATAATATGCTTATTAACTTACCTGACTTGTTTGTTTGTTTTTTTTTTCAATATTCCCAACCTAACTTATGTTTCTCCACTCTTTCCACTTTTAGGTTTGTGATGGTCAAGTTCCTAAACGATACTATCGTGCAGCCGCGTGATAGCCAGTGGTTCGAGTTTTATACGCCTGGACAGGATAGGGAAATGCAGCCCTTGAACCAAAGCAAGGTTTACAGCAATGTAAGTTATACGATCCACACGATACACACACACACACACAGACACACACGCACATTCGGATTCTCCAAATAGCAGCCGTTTCCGAAATCGATTTGGTTTCCTCTTCTTTGAGAGGAAATTCCTTTCAACACCATTTTTTTCTCTGGCAAATGATAAATGATGATTTTGATAAATGATCGGAATAACTTATTTCCTTCCGCTTTGTTCGATTTCAGCTCGGTTTGGATAAAATGCAAGCGAATGGGAAACTGAAATTCCTGAGTCTCGAGGGCGATCACTTGGCCATATCCAAGGAGTGGTTTATACAGAATTTAGTGCCGCTGCTATTGGCCTAAAGGCGCTCAGTGATGGAATTCGACTTGGGGAACAAACAAAAAAAAAGCTTTATTAGATATAATTATATATACAGGAAGAGAGAGAGAGGGAGAGAGAGAGAGAGAAAAAGGGAGAACAACCAAAAGATGGAGAACAACTTGGCGGATTATGCTCAACATTTATATGCACACACATGCATATAAGTGTATATCTATAAGTATGTGTATGCACATACATATGTACCATATATTATGTATATTATTATTATTATTGGTAGTTTAGTAAATTCACTTTTGCATACAAAAAACGTTCACTTAAGTTACTTAAATGTTTACAAATTCTACAACTCCTAAATATTCCTGGGAAATATTTAATGCAAGGCAACCGCGTGTTCCAAACTATACATATACATACATACATACATATATATATATATATATATATATATATATATATATATATATATATATATATACATATATATATATTTATATATAGAGATAGAGAGGTATATATATATATAGGCATATTTATGTGTTTCTCTGTATGCACCTATTATTTGTAATTTAGTAAAAAGAGAAGTACAGGTATAGGATAACATTAGGCTATGTACATGAAACGAGTAATAAGCAGAGAGTAGAGACAACCAATTACATTTAGATACGAGTGTACGGATCGAAGAAACAACTAGACAGCGATTGCTATACTATATAGTTTAGCTTAGCAGTTGGTGCTCCTTCTGATTATGATTCTGCTTCCGCTCTGATAGTTCTCCATGATCCCATGTGTGGTTCCGTGTGTTCCCGAGTGGATTTCTTTCTTCTTTCTTTTGAGTGCTTCCCAGTACTCGCGTGGTCAGATCATAACTTGGACTTCGGCTTGGCATTGCGCGCGAAAAGGATTTCGGGATCTTTGTGCGGTCGCTGAATCTCCCGATAATTGTTCACTATCTTCTTCGACTCATCTTTGGGGCATGATTGCAAGTTGCGAAAAACGCTGACCTGTGTGTGAAAAAATAAATACCGGACATTAGCCATATGGCAGTTATTTGTAATGATATGAGAGATCTGAGAGGCGGAGGTCTAATTAAGTAGCTTTTCAGGGTCTGTATTTATTATTCCATTTGATTTTGGTTGCAGCTACTCAAAAAAATGTACAGCTCTGGTTTTACATGCGGTTATAGGAAAGTATTTCTTTTTAACAACAGTTGATGAGTTTTGATTTTTATAAACTCTTTCCCCAATTATTGCAAGATGTATCCCGTAAAAAGGGGGACTTGCTACTTCAATATGTTATTTGATCTTTCGAAAATTGAGCACAAGAAACTTTTACCAAGGGAAATAATTGCCGCTTCTCTGGAAGTATTTCTTTGTCTGGAAACTGCACTCAAGAAAACCCTAGAGAAATGAGCGGTTGTTATTAGAAAGCTTTTCTCATCTTGTCCTAATATATAAAGTTTTATAAAATTGTTCTTTCGAAAACCCTAAGAATTTCTGTGTCAGATGTAGAACCGAACTTAGCAATGCGTCGCAATATTGTATTCAATTGATTTAAAAAACTGAACAAAAACCCCCAAATATTCATTTCAAAAGAGGCTTTGTAGACTTTAATTTTAGAGATATTACGACATTTTCTGTGAAGTTCTGTATAATATAGTAATTGATTAATAAATGACGCTTGCTGCAAAGCACGTACTTTTTTCTTTAAAAAATGGATATTGTAAAAACACACATCGACAAGCTCTGTACATTTTTTCTTTCGAAAGAAATCTTGTGGCGTATATTGGCTAGAATTTCTTATCTAGCTAGCGAGTTATAATACTATAAACTCAAATGTTGGAAAAGCTGCGATATCTAAGAAATTATTCAGTCAAAAATTGGTAATCGGGCCCCCTCGGCATTCGTATCTCGTTTGAAGAGCCTCGCCATTATTGAAAATCAGTTGAAGGAAAGTATTTCTTATCTTCCTTCTTAATGCCTTCAAATGTGGCATTTATGGATTACTTTGAAGAAATTTCGAAACCACCCTTCACCCTCTATTATTGGAAATCAGTTGAAGAAAAGTAATTCTTATCTACGTTAAAAAAATGCCTTCAAATGTGGCATTAATGGATTACTTTGAAGATATTTCGACACCACCCTTCACCCTCTATTATTGGAAATCAGTTGAAGGAAAGTATTTCTCATCTATTTTAAAGAAATGCCTTCGAATATTAAATTTATTGATTACTTTTAAGGAATTTTCACCCCTTCCCTAGACCTAGCCATTTTATTGTAATTTCGAGCTGCCTGGACAACTAATACACACCTGTCCACGGGAAACATAGATGGGTGTACGATAAATGATCCATTGGACGCTCTCAAAGTACGGCGCCGTCGTTAGCGAGCCCTTGTAGGTGTAGTAGTGTTTGCTCAGCTCCTGCAGACCGATCCAGGAGAGGCAGTCTGCAACATGAAAAGGAATATCTGACTTAGTGGAATTTTTGGGGGGAAAGGAGGAATTTTCGTAACTTACCGGAATCCAGGGAGGCACTCGTGTGTATTTTTTGGACAATGCGAATGCCTTCGGTGATTTTTTTAAATTCCGGACAATCCTTCTCGCCACAGGCCTGTATGAAGAAAGCGACAACGGCCAAACCATCTGGCTTGTTTTTGGCCTCCGCAAAGTCCTTGTACTTGGCGTTGTAGTGGACGGCATGGGCCTCCATGGAGTACTTGATGCCCTCCAGGGTGTGCTCGCAACCAGACTCATCTGTGTCCGCCCAATGGAAGTGCAACTGCTCGAAAATATACTTGTTGTTGTGCAGAGCACCGCCTATAATGTACGGCTGTTGCTTCCGTTTGCTGAAGGTCACCATCGCAGAGGTGCCGGTGTTTTGTACACGTGCCACGCCCACTGGCTCCCAATGGCCGTGATATTCAAGCGGATCGACATCGTCAATGTGCTCTATAGCTCGATTGCTAATCTCAATTGGTGACTGTACGGGCATGCTGATAAAAACAAACGTACTCTTCTCTCCTCCACCTGCTTCTGCTTTGCCTTCTCGTCCTCGTCGTCCTCGTCGTTGTCGTCGTTGTCGTCTTCGTCGTAGTCGTCGTCTTCCTCCTCCCTCTGCTCAGTGCCTGTGTGGCTCCTTCCTCCTGGCGCGCCTTTCTCTATGTGATGTGCGCAACGTTCAAGTATTTCTTCTTCTTCAGCTTGTAGACACGCCCGCGATCACCAGCGCTGGCGTCCTCCAACGGCACGTGTAACAACGGCGGCGGTTGCGACGGCGACGTCGTGATGGCGACTTTTTTCGCTCGGCGCTGGCAAGTGGGTTACAAAATTGGCAGTCGCTGTGGGGGGGTGGAGGTGGTGGTGTTGGTGTTGGCGGTCTCGGTAGCGGGACTCTAGCGTCTGGCGACTGAAATGCATAAATGAGAATGAAAAAATTAAAGTTGCGTTGCGTTTGGTTGGGTTGGGCTGGGCCCACCAATCGGAAATTGAAATGGACAGCAATTGCTGCATGAAACATAATATATATACATATATGTATATACATTTATATACATATATAGTATATGGAGAGAGAATCGTACTCCGCTGTCGCACAATGCGACGACTTCTGGCCGGTCGTCCCATGGAATTCGATTAAATAATGAGAGACTGGCAGAGGGGGGCGCAAGGATGGAGTGCAAGGTGTTGTTGTTTGCATGGAAATCGACACCCACTCAACAACACCATCGGCAGTAACGCGCTAGGGATGGGCGCGTGACAAGTTTTGTGTGCTTTCATCTATTTGTAAAGTTTCCCATTTATTTATTAATTTTCTTTATGCTTGTATATTATTTGATTTATTATTATTATATAATTAATAATTTATTTGTTCAGAATTTTATTTTTATTTTTTTTTGGTATTTATTTGTTATTTATTTCGTGTTTCTATAAATTATTTGGTATTTCTAAAATTTATTCAGTATTTTTCATTATTGTTTTTTTTTTTATTATTTATTTATTTATTATTTATTTATTATTTATTTATTTATTATTTATTTATTATTTATTTATTTATTAGTTATTTATTTATTAGTTATTTATTTATTAGTTATTTATTTATTAGTTATTTATTTATTAGTTATTTATTTATTTTTATTATTTATTTATAATTTATTTTTTATTTATTATTTATTTATTTTTTTTTTATTTATTACTTATTTTTAAGTTTTTTTTTTATTTATTACTTATTTTTAAGTTTTTTTTTTAAAAATTATTTATTATTTTTTGTTGTTTTTTTAATTAATTTAAAATTATTTTAAAAAAGAATAATCCAAAGCATTTACAAAAAATACACAAAATCTTGAACAGTAGTTTCGGAATTTTAAAAGTCCATTCAGACATGCAAATAGTTTGAGCGCAAATGTTAATGAAAAATGTAACTTCAATTAAAGCCAAACAAATTATAAACTAAAATATGTATATTGCCACAAAAGTCTGCTTTGGAATTGAGTTTGAGAAAACAACTTGTGTGAAAATTATTTTCATACACACACCTGAACACACACATACTTTTTTTCTTCTTCTTTTTTTACAATATTTTAGATTTAATAAGATATATATTTAAGATATTATACTATATATTTTAAACGAGGGATCTCGTGGGGACACACATACTTAAGTAAATATTTCATTTCAATAAAATTGCATGTAACATAGGTCCTGAGAAGCATGAACAGTGAAAACAATGGACTGAAAAAAGGGATGAATCCATTCCAAAGAAAGCGAAGACAGTTCCATATGCAGGCGAACGTGCCTTAGGCATTAGTATTTTTTTGAAATCGGAAAAATATTCAACGCCCAGTATTATGAGAACTCAGTGGAACGTTTGGGAAATGACATCAAGAAAAAACGACCGCATTTGGCATACAAGAAAGTGTCGTTTCATCAAGATAAAGTACCAGTTCCAAAAATCAATGAGTTAGGTTCCTAGCGCACCACAATATCGCCACAGCTAGCCTTCTCGGATTACTTTAATTTTCCAAAAATGAAAAATGAAGCAACTAGTTGTTTTCAGAAGCTAGAAGTTTCTCACTGTAGACAGGATTTTGAAGCTATTTAGCAACGCTGGGAAAGGCCACTATGTAGATAAATAAGATTAAATTGATTGGATCAGGCAGTTCTGCGACTACACTCGTATTCTTAAAATAAAGTCAGCTAGAAATCAAGGTAATGCTCATAGGTTTCTGCAATCACCGCATTGGGCGGAGGGTTCACTATGAATTCACAATTTCTCTGATTCCACCACAAACATTCGAGCTAAATTGTGACTCAAGTTTGAATATTCCTCCTATTTTCGAAACTCATTAACGATGGAGTCCCGACTGACCAATCCGAATCATAATTCTTGCTATTTCAATTTAGTAGTTGTTTTTATTTACTTTCTCATTTGTGCTGTGAATCGGTTGAAAACCGCGAGCACAATTCTTATCTTTGAACTATTTTTAGAAAACTGGTTCAGTTATAAAAGCCCCCCGACACTTTCTGGGAATTTTGTTTTAAGCATGCATAATTTTCAGATAAAATATTACTTAACAAAAACTAATCAGTTTTTGTAATAGGAGCTAGCAATGAAGAGCAGTAGAAAGCTGGTGAAATGAATAGAAACGCGTGAAATTCGGTTTCATCTCTAGTCGTCGGGTCGGATCCGGTCGAGTCGCGTTGTTACCTGAAAGGGCACAGTCAGCCAGTTGGACAGAGGCGTGTATTTGTTTAAAGACTTTTCCGTTCGCGTGCCTTTGATTAGTTGCTAAACACTTCATTAGTTAAACGCAAGGCAAGGTGTCGATTGTGCTCGGAACAAAGAAGTCCCTAAGTGCTCGGCAAACAGACCAAGGAGAGAGTTAAGTTGAACTTTGACGGCAATTTGCATTTATCGATTAGCATGGACAGACAGACAGACAGAGAGACAGCTAAAGAATTGCAAAACGTTATTCATATTTAATAAATGAATAGGGAATATGGAATACGAAAGTGGAGACACACACACACACACACACTGTGCACATTTATTTATCCAAGGCCTAACCTATTTGATAACCTTGAGCAATGGTCAAGCCCTATCTGATCAGTAAAAGCAGCCACTGCCATTGCCACTCCCTCAAGCTAAGAACTGGCCCAACCACCCAAAAAAAAAACGCCTCACCGAATGACATAAAATCCATATGGACTGGACGGTTTTTTTTTTATTATTATTATTTTTTTTTTTTTCATTTGCGTCCCCTCCTGGGTGGCATTGACATTTCGCCGAGCGAGCGGCAACAGTTGGTCGACGAGTTGAAGGTAGAACTGCAATTTTAATGACATGTACGAGTACACCCATTTACTTAGCTCTTGGTTACAAGTTAACACGATAATGGGCTCAAATAAATGCTTAACTAGCCAAGTTGGTACACAACTTCATGTTTTTAACGATATTAATTGCATTTTAAATTTATTATAAGTATTATTATAAATTGGCGAGTAGTAAGTTCGGCTTTTCAATGCCATATAACAACCCTTTAATCAAAATAAACATTGTTGTAATAATTGTTCCGATGCCAGTTATACGATATAGTGCACCGATTTTATTGAAACTTCAACTCCAGATTATGGTGAGGTATCATAAAAAATCACGTATTTAGAGATTTTATTCAAACATCAGATTGTGACGAGTTTAACAAAAAAAATACTTGTTCGTGATATCAAATAAAAAGTTTGGTGCAAAATGTTTTTAGTACCAAAATGCATTTTTGTACCGATCGTTCCTATGGCAGCTATATAATATAGTGCACCGATTTCAATGAAACTGAGTCACTGAAGAAAACTGATAAATATTAAATTTTCTCGAAATATCTTTATAAACAAAACGGTTACCATAGTAAGAGTTACTTTTGAACCGATCGTTCCTATGGCAGCTATATGATATAGTGCAGCGATTTCAATGAAACTTTAGAATATGGTGAGACACCATGCATAACCCACAACTGATACATTTTGTTAAGATCTCAATGAACAAAACGGTTATCATACTAAGAGATATTTTTGAACCGATTGTTCCTATGGCAGCTATATAATATAGTGTGAATTAAATGGATTAGACCCCATGCCAAGTTTGGGGTCTCTGAATATTATGATTCAAAAGTTCTCGGTGTTCATACAGACGGACGGCCGTTTAAACTTTCTAGTATACCCACCCATGAAGTCTGTCATTCCTCTTTCTGTCCGAGGAAAAAAAGGGGTAATGGTGTCGTCGACACAGGAGGCACTCCCGAGTAATAGAAGAGATAGAACTCCGCCGTCATGATTGCAATACGACTACAATAAAAATGGCTTCAACGAGAGTCAAAATAAAATGTATCTTGTGTCCACTGCACTTATATATCGAATATCGCAAAACAAGGCAGTTATCGATTATAAGTAAACCAAGAAGCAGAATTCAAAAGAACTGGTCAGTTGGCGTCCAATAAATTGGCAGCCTTTCTGTTCATGCATGAACAAATATTTTCACAGTCCAGATCAATAAGCTGTTGAGTGCACAAAATATTTATTTATAGACATATTCGCCAGTCTAGCCGTACATCAATTTATATAAATATATACATTTATATACATATGTAGGTATATAGCGATTTTGGGCAGATTAACTTGATAGTGATGGGTCGCATTAATTGCAGGGCTTTGACACTCGAGCCCCATAAAATTAAATACGATTTTAATTGACAGTTTTACAATCGCACGCCCGACTCTAGCGCTCGGGATCTAGATGCGTTCGTTAGCCAAGTTTTATGTATTTATGGCATATACTTCATAAGCTCTAGTACTACTATAGTTTGTTTGTACATATATCGGAACCGTCTCATGCCTTCTGATAAGCAGGTCCCCAGTAATGCCGGCAATTAGTTGCCGTGTCATTCCTGACAGCCCCAATCGTTCGTTCTAAAGTACACGCAATGGTCGAATTTTTATCAAACTACTTATTACCAATATAGCGTATTGACAAATACATACGATATACATATGCTTGTATGTACATATGTACTTTTGTGTTTGCGTGGCATGACGAAAATGAATTGGCTTTGCGAGCTAGATGGCTCGATGGCTCAGTGCTGTTGCTTACAATATTGTTACGAGCATTCCTGGGGCTATTTAAGGCACACTGTTAGTCAGTCCCATGCAATCATGCGATTTATCAACCTATTTAAGTCTTTGAACTTAATTGCACTCAGCGAAAATATAAGGACTCCATTCTACCAAGTGCTCCTTAGACGATTTCCGCTTGAAATGGGAAAAATAAGTGACAACTTGTGAGGTGCCAAGACTAGAAGCATCCATGTACGAAGTTTCTGGACTCTAGCTTCCTTTTTTTCCCGAAATATAGGCGTTCAGACA